GAAAAAACTCAAGGACTCAGCAATCTCAGTGACCCATTAAGCTAAATTAGCCCAAAAAAAAAAAAAAAAGTAGCAAAAATCTTCAAAAAAATTTGACCCATTTTCTCGACACACCTTAAAAAGCTGGGAAAAAAAATACAAGGTGAGTTTTACCTTAAAAAGATGTAAACTTTAGTTAAAAAAGTGAAGTGGATATGAGAAAAAAGAAGTAAATATTTTGCATGTGTACTTACCATAGAACAAAAACCCCTTAAACCCTTGAGTATGGCATTTGCACTTTATGGGGGAAGTTTAGTTTTGCAGAGACTAGACGAATAACAAAAAGATAGGGTAAGAAAGAGGATATAGATAAAGGGGAATAAGAAAAATAAAAGCTTTTTCTTTTTTCTTCTTTTATTTTTTATAACTTTTTCGAAATCTTTTTGTCTGAATTTGGTGAGTATTTGGAGAGTTAGGATTTTCAAAATTCAGACTTTAGGTTTTCGTGAAAAAAGTAAAGTAGTAATTGAAATAATGCAATTTGATAGGGTGAAGAGGAGGAGCAGGGAAGGTGAAATGGTCGGCGGAGCATGTGATTGTTTTGGAGGGAGAGACAAGTGATCTTATGACTTATGGTCTAATTTTAAAATAAATATTTAGTTGCATCTGATATTTATTGAAGGCGGCCCGGTGCACAAAGTATCTGGTATTCACATAGGTTGGGGAAAAGGCAGCACACAAGTGGTGGCTACTTCTAAGGCTCAAACCGTAACATGTAGGCCACACTGAGATAATTTTGGGGCAAGTGCACAAATAGTCATTCTCAGAATGTTATTTAGAGATTAGCAAATATTTATATTGTCCTAAATTTTAAAATGAAAATTTTAACTTCAAGACCATTCTAAACATTTTTGTCTTGAAAAATTAAAATTTAGGACGCACTGACTAATTCGTAAATAACAATCTTTTAAAGTGGCTATCTGGTGTCATTTCTGCGATAATTTATCGTTACTCTAAGGTTTCACTTCATATTTATTTATGTCAAATAAAATAATTTAAATTCAAATAATTGTTGTTTCATTGTATTGTTAAGTGATAATTTAGGTATCAAAGATAAATATTTTATATTTTTATTAATTTAATATAAGTATCGAACACGAATAAATTTTTACTATAATTTTGATGGTATGGGACATGAGTTTGTGTAAATGTTACTCCAATCTGATAATTGATGAGTTGTTAAGTGGGTCCAATATTTGTGATGGTCCCTTCTGACCAAAGGGTAAAACAGTGTTATTCCAAAAAAGAAAATTGATTTAACTTTTTTTGGTTCTATTTTTCTTTGACCCCATCAAAAAATATTCTGACACTAATAATTTGATGGTGTGAGGATGCAATAATGCATATGATTTTAGTTGAGAGGTTTTAATGTTACTGTGTGCCGACTGGACAGTTTCTGTTTGAATTGCTTTCAAAATTTTCTTTTATCGTATGCTTGGATTATTATATTTGGAAGAATTTTTTAGAATATAGTTGTAATTGGATTATATTACAATTTGCATCTATAAAAATGCATGGTAGAATGTAAGGGTAAATCCATTGATATGTGCTAGTACGCTTGGACCGTGAATGTTTAAACAGTTCAGATTGAATATAAAACTCGATTGGGATTTCCGATTTCGAATTACAATTCAAATATAAATCAAATAAGCTCGAATTTGTTGGATCTTTTAAAATTCGATTGAGCATTTATCTACTTAGTTATTCTAGGATTAGGATTTTAGCTTAAAAGTTAAGTTTTTTTCTCTTCTTACAAGAAAGTACAAACAAACAAAGTATTTCATCAATTTGCCTTAATAATTCCTCATTCCCAACATAACCATCCAAAATAAAATATTTATTTCAAAATTGTGCAATTACTCTCTCAATACAAATGAGGAAAATGAAAAAAAAAATTAATTCCACTTTTATTATCAGTAGAGGGGTCTTGAGTGTTAGTCACTTGATCGTGTGAGATATTTACTTACGTATTGGTATGTGAAAGTAACTGATTAAGTTTACTCGTGGACTTGAGGAGAAGCTTCTCCTGCTGGCACCTGGCATGTTTATTGAAGTAAAGATTGGATAACATATAATACACAAGTACAAATCTAATCTATACGAACATTCAAAGATATTTATTAAGTTTTTTATATTATTAACTAAAAATTGGGTATTGCATGTTCAATTTGTTTTTCACAATCCAACTTTTAGTAAGTTTATTATCTCCTAATCGCTCAAATATATGACTAGAGCCGTCAAAATGGGCTTGCCCATGAGCCCAACCCAGCTTGCTACTTGGGTAGGGCTGGGTTGGGATTGTTTTAGCCCATTTAAAATTAGGTTTATAAACCCGGCCCAAATCAGTTCGCTGGCCTTTGAAACTTGATCAAGGCTGGGCCTAGGCTGGCCCGTGGGTCAAAAATTAATTAAATTCATATTTAAATATTTAAAAAAAGTAAAAACTAAAAAATTATTAACTATATCCACATTTTTCAACCTTAGAATTCTCATTTATCCTTCCATATTAACTAGAATTTATATTTTTGATATGCATGTAATATGACAAGATTAGTTTTTCTTTTGCTTAATTAACAACGAACTAGGAAAGTTTTAGCTGTCCAATAATATTTTTTCAAAAGAAAATATTACTTTAAGTGGCCAATGATCAGTTTAGTTACTTTAATATATTATTAATTATTAAATTTATCTTTATTATAGAAAAAGGTCAAGTTTTAATACCCAAAGGAAATTGATAAACACTAGCATATTTCATGAATTTTAAAAATTTCATGGACAATAATGATGAAATCAACAAATAATGTTAAACCTAAATTAAAAAACCTTAACAGGTAAACTTACCGAAGCAATTACTGAATCTAAGGAAAGTGAAAGAAAAATACTAAAAAAATATTCATGCAATGTTAAAAAAAGAAGAGCTAGAGATGTAAAGAATTTGCATTTCAATTACGAGTTTTCTTATCAAATATCAAGATTCTTGTACACTCTAAATAAACAGAAGTGGTTCATATGATTAATAGATTATGTCATGAAAAAATATTTAAAGATTTGAAAAAAAAAATCTAAAAAGTTGAAGGGTCGGCCCGCCCTAGCATGCGACCCTCTTAGGGCTGGGTTGGGCTAGCCATTTTAAGGCCCATATAGATGAAGGGTCAGCCCACCCTAGCCCACCAAATTTAAAAGCCCATGAGACTTGAACTGGGTTGGGCTGTGCTAGCCCGTTTTAACAGCTCTATATATGACCAACGTATGAATTCTAGATTCAAGCTATAAAAAATGGATCATCCAACCCATGTTATTAAGGTTTTGCATTAAATTAGCATATACTTTCGCATGGTAAGAAATGTACAGGATTTATAAGCTAGACAATCCATTTTGTTAGTAGTATATACTACTAGCACATTATCTAAAGAATAACATTATATGCACCACAAATATATGGAAGTGATATTCATTGGCTGTGTATTCTATTCTGTTTTGATCAGAGGTATTTTATTTTATTTATCCCATCATCATTCTATATTATAAGTATGACGATCAAAAGTTGAACATGAAAGACTAAATTGACCCTATTATACTTGCCCTTAAAAGATATATTAATAATACGTTCAATAATAATAAACAAAATACATAAGCTACAAAAGTTAGTTTTGTAACGTTAAATTTGGCTTGGGATTGTCAAAGAATTTATTAAGGTACATGTACTATCTAAATTCTTCACCTTGCAAAGTTAAGCTCTTTAACTTCTCATCTGTATAATAATTCTTTTGAGCTAACATTTACAATTATATTTTATCTTCTCCAACTATTTTTCTTAGCTTAATATTCAGATTGCCCAGGGACTAGTTTAAATAAATGAAGGGAGAAAATAACTAAAGAAAACTGTAATTTGGCATGACTCTTCATTTCAACTTCAAAGCTGAAATTCCAATATGTGAGAAATACCAATAAACCAATGTAAAAATTATCAAAACAAGATATCAAAGGCCATATGGTTTGCCCCGAGAATCTGTTTCTCTGAGACTAGGTATTTGTTACAACACAAGTAGTTTTACTCCCTTCAAAAGTATAATATTCAGGGGTTCGTTTGGTAGAGTGTATAAGAATAATGCGGAATTTGGTATATTAGTAATACTGGTATTAGTTATACTTGCATTAGTTATGCTGATATTAGTTATGCTAACATATTTCTTATTCATTGTTTGGTTTGATATATTAAAGCGTTGCACAATTTCTAAAAGAATTGTTTGTTTACAAAAATACCCTCATAACTAGTCCATCACTTCTTCTTTTTTTTTAAAGAAACATATATTGAGGAATATTTTTATATGAATAAGGTTTTAAGAAAATTATTTGATTTGTCTACTTCTGTTGTAGTATATAACTAAATATTTATTTATTAAAAAAATATGTTAAGTATTTATTTATTTACTAGGATATAATTTTATTTCTCACTTTCTTGGATCATTTTAAACTTGCATTAATATAATAACATATTTTAATCAAGCATAAATTTTGAAGGACAATATTATCTTTAACTAAGCTAATGCATGTATTAAAACACATTGCATTGTCAATACCATGGTTTCTTATGCATTAGTTATGCATAGGATAATACCAAATAGAGTGTATAACTAATACATATGTTCAAAAAGTGTACCAAACAAGGTACTATGAATACACAAAGTTAATGCATAAAGTGTACCAAACAAGGTACTATGAATACACAAAGTTAATGCATGCATTATTTTGTCTAATGCATCCTACCAAACGACCACTCAATGAGACAACAACAATAACAAACAACATACCCAGTGCGGTCCCACAAGCGACGTTTAGGAAGGGTAGTGTATACGCAGACCTTACCTCTACCTTATGAAGAAGGGGTTGTTTCCGATAGACCATCGGTTTTTCATTAGCTCTTGCTTGGAACATCTATTAGAAAAGTGTATAGTAAGAAGTAAGAACCAGTAGCCAGTATTGGATCTGACATAAACAAAATTTTACATTAAGCTTTGATTTACTCACAAAATTGCATGTGGGTGTAGTTACCTCCACTAATAAGGCATGATCATCTTACATGCTAACTGAGCTAAATTTATCTTTCTATTCAATTTCTTTTCCTTTTTTTTTTTCCGGTCACTAATGTTGGTGATATTGCAATACAGTTGTATCATAACTTAAGTTTGGATGTTCTTCTTTTTGCAGTTACAAACAGGACAGCAAATAGAAGCACAAAGAGCACGGAAACGGCAATAGAAATGGCTTCCCAAGAAAATGCACTATATGATTCGTCGAATCCATGGTCCTGCTGGTTCTGCAAAATAACACAAACGATTAAGCTTGCAACTTGTTAGATAGAATCGTCTCGTGGAAATCCATGCCCTACATAAAATTCCTTGGGATGAGACATCAACATGCTCTAGTGCTTGTAGCTTATGCAAAGATATGTTGGCTTGAAAAGATCGTTTGGGCACTTACTGTGACAATCTTGTTCTGCAACATGAGTTTGTGTTGATTTGCAAAGATCGTTTGGGCATATTTATAAAGCTCCACGTCTAGGCTGTTTAACGATGTGATCTCCTGAAGAAGTGCTTCAGACACCTGACGACGTCCCTGTCAAATTTGAAACCATGAATGTTTATGATAAGAGGATTGAGCCCTTGATAAATCTGAAACCAAGTATGTAGAACTGCGTGGGTAAACATGTAAAAATGAAAACTGCAGAAGGTTGAAAAACCGCACAGAGTTTGTCTAAAATACCTCCTTTGTAAAATTTGCTGGAGAAATTTTCTTTAGAGAATTTACACGTCTTTCAGACTGGGACTTCCTTAAGTTCGAAATGCAGCTTTCATACACATCCATGAGTTTTCCTACAGTCATCTGTTGTGGTAGCAGAAAAGTTACATTTTGGAACATTCTCATATGTTGCCGTTAGAACAGAAAGACATTGTCTTAGACTTCATAGGAACGGGCTTACATTTTCCTTTGTCGCTTCACCTCGCTCAACTGATGAGATTTGACTGGGCTTTTCGTATGAGCTGTTGTTCTGAAGTTTGGGCGAAAACAAGGATTAAAGTCATAGATCAGTATGATATTCGAACAGGCACTTAAAGCCGATAGATCTATTTATGATCATATTTCAAGAGAGACAGAAAGCTTACATGGTGATAAGTGTTATCAAAATCAGATTCTAGCAGTGAAGATCTCTGTTCTGCGCACAACCAGATGATGTAATCATCAAAACTACAACTTAGTAAATGTCCAACTTGAATAACACTTGATTCTAGCAGAAAATAGGTCATTCTTGAGAAATCAGTTGTTGAAACATTTCTATAAACTCAACTTTTGAAACATTTCTATTTTTTTTTATAAGGAACTTTTGAAACATTTCTATAAACTCAACTTCTAATTCTGACCAATTTTGGAATTTTTGATGAAGCAATAAGAAAAAAATGGGACCACCAAAATAGGCCTCTCGTAAGGTGGAAGCTTACAAGACGGGTTCAATAACCCACCCCATCAAAAACAAAAATAAATAGAAAAAAGAAGTGTATAGCTGAGCGTCTGCTAGTGTGTTCAAACTGATTTTCATCCAACCATTGACTGTTACATGATACCCGTAGAAGAAAACAGGAATATTCCTAGCCAAGGCATCAATTCGGTAAAACAAGTAGCTTCTAAACTGACCTGAATTGTTGTTAGCAGCATGATCTCCATGTGATCTAGAACCAGTGAACTGTGAAATTGCCTGAGTACCGACTACATTTGCAAACATGGTGGCTGATTCCTTGTGGTTTTCTGTGAGTCCAACATACAACATATCATCCAACCTCTTCTGCAAGAATTTACAAGTAATTTCAACCATCATCAAGAGGGGATATAGCAGAGTATAGTACCCAGAGTCAAACTTAATTTAGCGTGGCTTGATTACCTTTGCAACCTTCAACACATATTCTCCAAGAGACTGATACTTCAGTACACAGTGACGAACGTCATGTGCCTCTGTCAGATAAGAGTTGTTTGTAAGTCCCGCGACCTATAAATTAGACACTATCAGGCAGTTGAAACAACTTCAAGAGCATTTCCTTTGGGTCGGGAGAAGAGACACCCGGGTGAGGGACTGAGAGGGGAGGGGTTGTGAGCAAGAAAGAATTAGGAGTTCCTTTTCTTCCTATCCTTCAGAAATCAACAACAAAATTTTAATTATGCTATTGCTGCCACACTCGTTAGACACAAGGAATATTGCATGCATACAAGTATAATCAACTTTATCCCAGGTTACAAGATTATCTAATCTCACTAAACTTGTATGGTACATTTGCTTATAAGAGAAGATTGTTTTAGTTCAAACTGATGATGTGGACATTTAATCTTGAGGGAACAGTCCCTAGCTTATTCTATATCACAGTGGACAAATATGCCATCGTAGCTGAAAAGCTTAAAATGTGGATATCGAACAGTGGTGGGTGCTACATTGATTTGGACGTCTTTGGCTCTCACGTGGATATTGCAAAAATAAAGAAAAAAAAGAGTGTTTGATGGGTGGAAAGTACTTTTTCACATATTAGGGAAAATTATTTTGTTCCGTAAATCTTTGGGGCTCCATGAGGTTCCAATTAGTATAGATGAGGGTGTTATTGGTTAAAACCATATTTTTATGTAAGCTCTCCCCTTTTATATCCACTTATATGCCAGGAATATCAATAAATTATTATTTTATCAGAAGAGAAGATAGCCTACAAGAATGGGGTCTGCCACCTTGTAGGATACACAAATTAGCAGTCACAAGTTCTTCACAACAGAGGCAGAAAAAATAAAAAGAAAACCATCCTCCATCGCTCTTGAATAGCAGTAATGTTATTTTTTTCTTTTCTTTTTATCCATTCTCTAAGAAAAGAATCCCTCCTTTGCTACACCCAAAGAAATGAAAAGGAGCCTCGTCTTATATCACTGTTGCTTCTCCTTTTTTGCATTAATTGAATAATCTGTTTTGTGAAACATTTTCAAAAAATATAAAATTGTTAAAGCAAGAGACTATTTCATGATACAGCATATAGCACGCAAGGCAGTATCTGAGGCTGGTCTAGCGCCACATATTCGAGGTTTAAAACAATTCGCAGTTTCATTGCAGTTTGCCAATGTTTTCTGAAAAGAACGAAAGAGAAAAGAAAAGGAATCCCACTGCAGTTCCAGTAACAGTTAAACAACAATTAACCAATCAAGCAGAAGAAAAACTTGAAAATTATAGTAAAATACCATAAGCATGTTGTGCACAACCTTCCCCGAAAAATTCCGAGTTGGATCCCTAATTTAAGCTTTTGTACAACTCCAAACAATAGATTGCAGAAAACAAAAAAGAGGTCGCACGGTTTCAAATTGTAACTGCAAAAACAGGCAATAATACCTGAAACGTGGCTCCATTGTGAATGATGTCCCGAGCAATAGGGTTGTTGATATATTCATGTAGAGGCATCACCATCTCCTCCATATCATATGGATTAGTGCTTGCAACAACAGAATTGCCCTTTTGCTTTCTTGCTTCCCTCTGCAGTCCAGAGGATATGCAACATATTAATGCTTAAGCAAGTCAAATTCATACTGCCACGGAGAAATGCATGACAGAAGTTCCCGTAGCATGCTATCAACATTTGGCATTGATAGAGTCAGAATAGATTTTGAGGAGGAGGAAGGGAAACCAGATAAGACAATTATACTTTCAGGTTAATAAGTTTGGCTGAATACATTTTAAGATGTATATGCAAATTGTTGCTTAGATAGTAAAACTTGCTGGACAAGATGATGAATCGACAAATGCTGTTAAAAAGACATACTCGAGCAAATAGATCTTCTCTCATCCAAGGGACCAAGTACTTCCATGGCCAAATATCTAGAGTGCTTATTGTATTTTTCGAACGCAGCCGTCCAGACATTCTAGTGGCAGACGTTAAGTTAGGGTGCACCAAGAACCTAGCTGCTACCTCCACAGAAAACTCATAAGCACTAAAAACACGGTCAATTGGATTTCTAAGGATTGTCACCACAGAAGTTTCATCCTTGGGAAGTTTGGACATCATGCTGTAGTCATTGTGAGTAACCAACAAGCGGCATTTTGGTTTTCTGCACCAGCAAAAAAAAAAAAAGTAGTAATATTGAGAGCAACTATTAATAAATTTCCTGAACTGGAAAAGGTAAAAAAAAGTAGGAAGCAGAGAAACAAATTGTACAGTAGAGCTAATCCAAATTGCTTCTCTGTTACTATATGTTACGATAGGAAGACTGGCTGAAGTAAAAGCAGAGAGATTTAGTGTTGCACACTTCAAAATGATTGATATAATAGCTTCTATCTCGGATGCTTTCAAAACAACCAGACCTTATAAAAGATCTGTACTTTAATTCGGTAATCCATTTATTTCTTCTCAATAAACCTAAATACTATGATGCCTCTAATGCTCCCATTAACTCTAACTTTTAAATACACAAGTAGGAGTAACACAAAGAATCAAATGGGTAGAAGTGACCTTATCGTCAACAATGTCTACCTTTTCTAAGACAGCAACATTAGCAGTCAATATCAGAGGTTCTATACTGGACTGCCTAATGCAATTTGTCATTTCAACTAAAGTTATAGGTTTGCTTAGGTGCCTTCTTATAGCTTCGGATTAACATCCTAAAAACTTTGAAAATAGTAATATTTAATGTTTCCTAACGATTTAATGCTAAAGGATGAAAAAATCTATTACCTTGGATCAATCCTTAACTTGTCATAAGAACGTGGACACTCCAATGAACTGGCATAAAGCTTTTTAAGAAAACTGCAAACACGATAAATATAAATTGTTAGCTAATATTCAGATCATAGTATGAAATGTTTAGAAGCAGTTCTATTCCTCATCTATGTCAAAGGGAAAGGAATTTATCGATGGAAACTGTTTTTACCAATGAAAATATGTTCGCCCTCCAGTCCTGGGGACATGAAGAAAAAAGAGCAAGTTCTGCAAGACATGTTTGTCATCTTTGACTTCCAAGTCAAGTGAAGAAGACGCCCACTGTTTGACAATGTGTTCACACCGATTGAAGCCATCTTTGCTTTCAGATGCCTTTGATATGGTAGAAACTGGGCACCAAACAACATTATCAATTTCCAGATAAATATAAATTCCCATTCCTCTAAAAAGAGCTCCATCACATGCTTATCAGCAAATCTTATGTACATATGAATTGTATCCATAATGCTTCGCTTACAACATAAATAGCATTCACATGTAACTTCCAGAAAGAAAAAAAAACAAGGACCAATATCATCTTCATGACTATATATAAATCATCAGTATCATGAAACATCTAGATTTTGATTAGAGCTATAATATAAATTTCCAGGACGAAAACTTTTAAATCACAAGAAGGCCTCAAGAAATTACAAGCCATCACCTTTTTCCAAGAGTCAAACTTTAAGCTAATTGCTTCGATCGATCGATCGATCGAGAGAGAGAGAGAGAGAGAGAGAGAGAGAGATTTTTGCTGTTTAACTTCGCTAAACATATCAGAGGCTCAAAGACTCAATTAGCTTCTTTAACAAACATGTTCTCCAAACCCCAAGAAAAAAAGGGAAATCAAGAAATGAATGTCCTTGCAATACTAGAAATAAACAAACAGGGTATAGTTTAAACAAGTAGATAGTGAGAAACATACATGTCTTAAGGAGAAAAATAGCTAAATTTCCTTCAAACCAAAATCTTTCATTCATAACATATAGTACAACGAATAAGCAATAAATAAAGAGACATACCCAAGAGCAAAAACACCAGGATCACAAGAACGTCAAACTTATCACCTATTTGCCTCATTCCCACCTCCAATCTTTCCCAAAAGTCAAACTGAAAATAAAGAAACAAAGTAAAGATTCAAAATTCAGCACTTTTAACTGCTATAAATGGACATTAGTACATATTGTAACACCCATCCAATTATATAATCGCCAATAAAAGGAGGGGAGGCGCGACCTTCAACATTCAACTAGCTGAATCAGCATATACATAATATGTACACACACAAAAAAAAATTCAAGAATCGTATAATTAAAACTTCAGCACTTTCAACTGTGATAAACGCACACTAGTCCAAATTATAACACCCGCCCAAGTATAAAATCACCAATACGGG